GTTTTTTTTTATTGACCGTCAGATTCTGACAAAAAAAGAAAACTGACCGCTGGATTTAATTAATAACAGCCGTTGGATTAAGCTGACGTTGGGTTTCCCTGACGCATCTGCTGCTGATTGTAGTCGTTGATTGGGTACATGGGCTTAACATGAGAGAGAAGCTTATTGGGCTTTTTACCCAACACTTCTTATATATATATATATTTTTTTTTTCTCACAAGTAAATGCTTTTTTTTTTGTTACAACCACTCAAATTATTTTAACAAAAACAAATTATTATTTTTTTCCATCTAAATTTTATTAAAATTTTCGAGACGAAATTATATAGCCGAAAACAGAGAGAAAACTACAAAAACTAATTACACCGAAAAAAACACAAGCTTAACCATATAAGGTTGAGTGATCAAAAACTAACTAAGAGTGAATAAGAACAGATTATACTGAGATTATAAACTTTAAAACACTAAAAATTATTCGGTTCCTTTTCGCTGAACCATGACATAACAGCTCAACAAAATCCCTTAACAAGCTTAGAAGATCTCCAACTTGTTATTTCAATAGAAAACTTCATAAGCTTCAAATTAGCTGCCTTTTTTTTATATTCTTCTTCCTCGTTTTTTTATTTGTCTTTTTAAATCATGTTAACCAAACTATGAAATTATGATGATTAAAACAAGTGAATGTGACAAGGATAGCATCTGATATGGAAAATTTGGTGACGGTTGAACAGAAGCGTCTAAAGTCAAAATGCTTTAATGAGGAATGCTTTGATATGATTTCAAATATGTAGCAAGGGATGTTGAAGGAAAGAAGACAGAGCTATGAGTTCCACAAGGTTAACTGAAATTTCTTGTGGGAAAATATGATGTGATTGCTAACAAAAATCATTCTCTTGCTAGCCAAATTGTTAGAGTGCAGAATGAGTACAAAATGAGCTCTGCTAGCAAATCTCCACCTAGCAGAGTAAGATCAACAAGACACAAACAACGTGAGACTTAAAGCAACTAAATTTGAAGTCATAAAATATATTTCTATTGACTATTGTTTAACATGAACTAGTAATAATTAATTAAGAATGAAGTATAGAAATCAAAATTGGTTGGCAAAGATTGACTTGCTTGCCTTTTTGAGCGCATTGAGATTGTCTCTGATCTTCCTCTCAAAGTCGTCTTTGTATCTGTCATCAATGTCTTTCTTTATTTCCTCGAGTTAAATTTTTCCATCTTCAATACGTTTAAAAAAAATAGATTTCTCTTCTTTCATATCACGGAGTTCAGCCTCTAATTCCTAGACCTTTTTTCAAGAGATTTGGCTGTTTTTATTCTGGACCACCTTAGCGGTAGTAGAAAGTAACCCATTCGTAGTCGATTCCAACTCAGCCTTTTTCAACCTGGTCCCTTAACGGTTGGAGAATATCTTTTTCCGCCAAAAGTAATATCTTCAATTTCTTGAGTCCTTTGTCGAGTTGCAAGTCATCAATTTCTGTTATCAATGCAAGCTTAGTTTGCAGATCCCGACTCTTTCGTCGCTGTTCTTCTTTCCTCCCTCGTAAAAGCACATATCTCTCACTAAGGACACGTTGAATTTCGTCCAAGTCTTGTGGCATAGTTTCCAATTATCGTCCCATCATGTTTCTCGTTTGGTTGACTTCCGTTGAAAGTTTGTGAAGTGCTTGACGGACTCGCTGGTCTGTCAAAAATTCGAGAAGTTCCTCCTCTATTCCTTAGGCAAGGACATCTATTTATACAACTACATCTATTTATACTGTTTCTATAATCCATCGAGAAAAGGAAAAGTTTTGATAATCACGAAGAAAAGGAAAATTTTAATATATTCAACG